TTTTTTTATCACTTCATCAAGTAACACAAAGCTTGTGTCTATAATTTAGAGCTTTGATTGTTCTGGAGTGGATTATTCACAACAGATTGCAATAGATAAATACTGAGAGCATCCAGAAATGCTGAACAGTCCCAGACATGGCTGTTCAATACTCTGCTCCTTAGACAGAGATTCCCCATGGCTGCAGATGTCCACCTTCAAATGCCATTCATTCAGACCTGTACAAAAATATTAGTCATCCATAAGACTTTGAGCAGGCTCTACCTTGCCTCCTGCCCCAGGATTCACGAGCCAAGAGCAGTAGGGGATGCAGAGCTTCAAATCCCTACAGGGATGGCTATCTATGATCCCAATCTTTGGCTACCATTAAGGAATCATCACAATCCTTTGAGCTAGAATAAAACGGACAGCAGGTTGTAAATAAGTTTTAACAAAAATATTTGAACATGGTATCGCAAAATTTTTTACAGTAGCTGCTGGAATATCCAGCATTTAAGCAATTCATCCAGGCACAGTTACAGATCACAAAAATGGTAACAGGTTTTAGATACTGCATGTGTTTCAGAAAGAATCAAATCTCCAAAGTCACTACTAAGATCTGCCTAAACTAAGCAGGGTAATAGTGTGAACTACTCCTCAGCTCAACAATACCCAGCATGAGAAGCTGTGCACATTTACAGTCAGGACAGAGCAGACAGGATGGCAGGAACACCATGGGTTTTCTTCCAGGATTTAGGAGCTCACTGGGTGTGGTTCTATCTGTAAGAGGCCCCAGTGCACAGACCCCTTCCCAAACTGAAAGCACTGAAGACAGCTGTTAGATGTACAGGCAAGTCCACCAATGTTTGACCTTTTCCAGCACTGGAGTACAAGTCATCCTAGTGGAGAAACCAGAATGATGCTCTCCTTCTGCACAGCACACTGTAATTGCAGCAGTCTGCTCCACATCCAAAGCAACTTCCAGAGCTAAACCCCACTGCTACCAGAACTTAGGAAGCTGCTGCTTTCAGAGGGAGCACACACAAACCAGATCACTGGTGCACTGCTACAATCCTAGCAGTGTCTTTGCCTCCTCGCTCTGTGCCAGGAGGGTTTCACTGGCGTACTTCTGGAGCAGCTCCATCTTCTTTCTTCGTACAAGAGCTTCCTCAATCTGCAGAGATACAAACAGGGTGGATTCAGCTCAGCTGAGATGCTGAAACCTCAGATAATCAGCTATACCACAACACTTCCTAATTTATGGAATACTTAGAAAGGTTTTTGGGAATTCACAGGTGAAAAGGGTTATAGCATTTGCAAGAGGATTAAAAAGCTGCAGGGTCAAGTCACAGAAATCACACATTTAGGGCACTTTTACTGATGACCTGATGTAAATTAAGATGCGTCTTGCAAAAGCCAGTGTGCATCTCTGCAGCTGAGTGCTGGCATGCCTTACCTCCTTTTGAGTTGGCACTGGAACGTGTGCAATAAATTTCTGTTGGCCGTCTTCACCTTCTCTCTCCTTGCCACCTTCTTCATCAGACTAAAAAGTGAAAAAAATCACATCAAGTTTATTTTCTGTAGAGGTCATAAAAAAACCCCTTTTCCACTTGCTTTGCCAGAAGGAACAAAGCATGCTCAACACTACACAGGAATGAGTGAAGAGGACCCAGCACATAAGAACACAAGGATCAGACTCTTTTCCTTGACATTTTCAGCATTACTGCTTCCAGTTCTCATACGGCCTTTGCTCTGCTATGGCATGGGCATGAATGTAAAGCTGCATTTCCTCCCCTTCCATATCTCTGGCTGCCACAGCAAAGCTGTGAACAGAAGAAGAGCCAGCTATGCAAGAAGACAGCAAGTGCTTTAAAAATATGGGTACCACTTCCCTGTACAGCTCTGTACTGCTTTGGTCCCACACCTAAAAGCTGGGCTCATGAACCATGGGATCACAGAAATAAAATAGGTACTGGTGGAGTGACCAGATCATCTGATGGATTCCTCCTTTTTATTCTTGTGTTTAACCCAAGTAGATACAGACTGAGAAATGGGAACTTGTTTCCAGTACCCTTCTCCAGATCTCACTGGGAGCAGGGAGAAGAAACAGCAGTGACACCAGCATCAGCAAAGCCCTGCTGCATCATAATTCAAGTGTGAACAACGCCCTGCACCCTTGGGTTTTCACACAGTGGCAGTGTGATATTATCCTATCCCCAAAGCTGCTTGTGCTGTTACTGAGGCAGGTTGTACTCAGAATCCAGACCAAGCAGAATTACCAACACACAACCTGACAAAAACAGTGCCATTTAAATCACAGAAAGGTGTGTCTCACTCCAGTGAAATGTCTGTCCTCACCTGCCATCCTCCAGCACTCCCTAAGCTTGGGCCAAGAGCACTCCCCTACTACTGATTCTTACTAAAATGCATAGTGGGACAGGTGGGGAGAGGGGCAGGACAGCAGCAGACATGTCCTTGGCAGAGTAATGCCATGTCCAAGAAGCAAGCACAAAAGACACATGAGAAGTCACATCACCTGAGCCACCCCTACCTCTTCCTCATGGACAGCATAGATGTTTTCTTCCTCCTCCTCCTCGCCTCTTGCAAGTCGTGCTTCTCTCTCCATCTTCCATTTTTCCACTGCTTCTGCTATAACTGGGGAGCAAAGGAAAATGGCAAGTGTGGCTGAGAGCCAGTCAGAACAGCATGGTCTTATTGCCAGAGCTTTTCCAATGGACTTCAACTTCTTGCCTAAATCCTCTACATCAGAAAAAAAAAGGTGCCTCAACTTCACATCCATCATCATCCCTTCCTGGGCTGCTCTGTGCAGTTTGGAATCTCACATACCTTTCTTCTCATGTTCCTGCTCCAGGGGCTCCAGAATCCCATCATCTTCATCCCTGTAGCCATAGTACTCGGCGTCAATGTCCTTCATAAGCTCAGCCCGAGTCTTCCGTGGGGGTGGCAGGGCTGCAAGAACACCACTGTCACCCACCAGGTCACCTCCATCACCTGCTGAGTGTCCCCAGCTCGTCCCCAACCTCACAGCACCCACAGCTGCCTCGCGCCAGCCAACACCCAGCACCACGGAGCTGCTGCCAGCTCTGGGAGCGCTGGTGTCACCCTCTGGCTGCACAAACCAGTTCCAGTACATCACTGAATGGTTCCCCCACATCCTGGAGTACCTCCTATCATTTGTCTTTGCCTCACTTTCAGGCCCAAGCAATTCTCACTCATTCCATGACAAAGCTTCATCCCCTTACATCCAGTTTTTCATTATGAAAACTCATTCTTGCTTCTAAAATTATGCTCAACCCAACGTTCCCTTTTTCTAGTCCTGAACTCTCTGAGTACCATTTACAACTTCTCAATAAGTTTGCCTCTTATGCTGGAAAGTTTCTATAAGCCATCAGTCCTTACCATTTGGAATTCCCAGTAGAAACCAGTTTACTCCTTACTACATTTCCTTAATTACAAAGAGCCAAAGGTGCTCTAGCATTTAATTAATTACCTGTGCTCAGTGTTTCACTGAGCTGACCTAAGACATTCAGAAATGCTGTTACCAGCACTCCCCATAAACTACAACAGCATTTTACTCAAGGTATTCTACTACATAGATTCATGTCTGGGAAGAGCTGCTCTTTACTTACGTTCCTTTTCAAAAAGCTCTCTAACTCCTGGTAAATCCTTTGCAGCCCCAAAGTATTTGTAGCCTCTGTTTCCTGGAACTTCTTTCCCTTCATGATCTAACATTTTTGGGCCAATCCTCTGAAAAATAAACAGAGTTCATAGTTTAAAACTTGCCAAACATTTTAGGGACTGAATAAAAATAACACTGGCCAAGCTATCCATAGCTAACTAAATGTTATGTATTTTTCTCAGCAGTCAGTTCACTTGTAAGCAGAACAACCATGCAGTACAACATATTCCACACTTACAGCATAATCTGGACCTCCCAGCTCCTTTATTCTGTATTCCCAGTGGCCTTTCTCCCTCAGAAGTTTGTTTATTTCATCATTCAGGTCCCGAATTCTGAATTCACCCAATCCAGCTGTTAGAGAGGAAAAAAAAGCAATAAATTAGGCAGCTCAGGGAAACACCAGAGGAATTTCAGAATTTTTTCCATGGAAACAGCATAGTTCACATGAAATGTGATTTTTACTGTAACTGCTTATGACTGGATATTCAAATAAATAAAACACAGTTAGAAGAACCTTACCATTTTGGATCTGTGCCACTTTCTTGGAAATCTCCCCAATGATCTAGGCAAATAAGAACACAGAAATTCATTTCTAAATCAGTGGAGGGAACAAAGGAGACAGAGCCAGATTGTTTGAGAAGTGCAAGGCAATAGAACAAGTAGCAATAAAATACAAGTAGAAACTGCAGAAATTCTGATTAAATTCAAGAGGAAAGAAATCATTAGGAACATAATCAAACACTGGAACAAAAAACCTGGAATCTAAATCCCTGAAGATGGTGAGCAGTCAGCAGGACATGGCCTTGCAGCAACCTGACATGGTAGGAGCTACTTTGAACACTGAGCTGTGTGTTCACACAATCTCAGAAAACATTCTGTGATTTAACTGTCAGGGTACTGACAACTGCGGAAAACCCCTTGTTAGCAGGCTGTCTGAGCAGGAAGTGTAAAGTCCTATTTCCTAGAGAATCAGAAAATCCACAGGTTGCCATTACCTGTCTCCTCCATTTCTCAGCTTTGGGCAGCTCATTACACTCTGATGCAAGGAAAGGCCTTCGCTCCTGTTGGACAGAAAACCACACACATCAAACTCAGCTGAGCACTGACACACAGCATTTCACACAGCCTTTACTGCTCCATTAATGCCAAATTTTGCTACCAAGCTCCAGGGCCTTCTGCTACCATGGATTTTTAGTAAGTGGAGAATAACAATGATTTACGGCCCTGACAAATTAAACTATCATGGACTACAAAATCCTACTTAAATCCACTTTATCCAAACCAAAATCTATCACCTGTTTTTTTCAGAACACCCCATAATCTTCTCCAATACAACAAATGTTCCATTCAGGACAGTTTCACCATTTTCAGCACACACGCCCTCCTAAATGTTAAGCTTTTATTGATTACTACTACTAAATAAGGTAATTTATTTCCAGTTTATACAGAGTACGTTCTCCTCAACTTTCTTCACATTCCATTGGCTTGCCTACACAAACTAATGCATCATCTTGTTTCCAGGGTTTTTTGTGTGCAGTTATTTTGTCCCTTTCCCCACAGTTCTACCTTTTATTAAAAGGCCCTACCTTTTACTAAAAGGTATTAAACCCCTTTTGTCTGCAATATGAAACATAAAAGTAAAAAAGCTTTGGAGAAACTCTAGTGGAGAATTTTCCTGGCTGTGTGAACATGAAATTCAGTCAGCTGAAACATTTTCCTTCTAACTGGAGTCAAGCACAGGACACCTGGGCTCTGAACAAGGCCTGCCTTCCTCCCTGACTTGAGCTAACAAACCTCCAGGGCTTTTGCATCTCACCTTGACTTTTCCTTCCTCAAGCTGGGCTTGACGAAACCTTGCCAAGGCCGTCCTAAAGAGAAGAAAGCAGATTTACTTTTGCAAATCCACATTCCAACAGGAACAAATTTTGCTCTGGATGTTTATTATGGTCTTAATTACAGTCTGCAGAAAACAAAGGCCTGAACACATTCACTGACCACCTCCAGCTCTTCCAGCTAATGACTTCTCACTACTCAAAATCCTCAGTGGTTCATTTCTCAAGCAAACCAATGCTGAGTGATTCCTCCTAGCAAGCCTGGCATCTCTGTTCCTAAAATGGGAAGTGCCTAAAACCACAAGAGTCCTTTATAACACATTTCAGTGTACTTATCCCCCAGCCTGCAGGGGGACAAGTACATTACTACAGGGTCTCTCCTGCACAAGCGCACCCAGCACAGCCACAGGAGCTCCACAGCACCAGGTTCTCCCACTGCGTCTGGGCCAGCACACGCACAACTGAGTACCCAAAAGCATCACTAAACCATCAGTGCTTTAAGAGAGGCTGAACAGCGAGTTCTATGGGCCAGCCAGTCACAGATGTGTGACATCAGGTATAGTCGTGGCCAGCAGCCAGGGTGTGTGAGAGCAGGTCGGGCCGCAGCCTCAGCCGAGGTGACCCCGGACTCAGCGGTGCTCCCGCCGCACTCACATGGCCTTCTCCGCGTTCCGAGCCTGCAAGACACAAAGGGAGCAGCCTCAGGCACCCCGACCCCGCCCTGCTCCTCGCCGCCAGCGCTCCCAGCCCGCGGCCAGTCCCCTCCGAGCGCCGAGACAGCGGTGGCACCAGGGGACAAGTGCTGAGCGGCCCCTCAGCCC